TGCCCTGGCTACGTGCTCGATTAAGAGGGGGGTTACAACAAGAGCTGGAAGTCCAAGTTGTAGAGAGGTATTCAAGATAGCAAGCTTTGTTTCCCTGGGGATCCACGGATTTTATGGTGTTTGGAGATAGATAGGGGAAGTAGAGTGACCTCTGTGATATGAGCTCACCCCGCAGGCCAAGGCTGAAGCTGGGAGATACTTACCTCTCTCCTGGATTGGTAGAATCCAATACATGTTAAAAACAGAAGGAATTCTACAACTCCTAGCATGCCCTAACTAACACGTTCCTGCTGCAGGATTCTCGAAATTGCTGGGCTTTTTCCTTTCTAAACAAGCCTAAATTTGCACATAAAATTAGCTCTGAGAGGTATTGTCAGTAAGAGAGTTTTTAGCAGTCTTAATGGTATACTGATCCTATTATATGTAGAGAATAAATTTTGGCAAGCTTGTGTGTTTTCTTTGTACTCAACGTCATTTCACTTCTGTCTTCTGCCAAACATTTCTCATTTGTTTAATAATAAATTGGATCCCCAAGTGCTATGGAACTTAACAGTAGTAAATGAGCCGAGTTTCCATGAATCAGCTTCATGAATATTCTACTCTAGAAGTTATATTCCATATAGCCTTAAGTGGCTGATCCTGCCTAATCTGAGATGCCAAGCCAGGTCGGTTGGTTGCGATCTGGATGGCTTACCTGAAAGTTGTGAACAGCCCAAAGAGCTTTGGTTACAGATAGTACAGAAATGTAATGGTAATAATATTCATAGTGTAACAAGTGGTGCAAATATGAATAAACACAATTTGAAAATATTTTAAATTGAGGAAGCCAAAGGGATTATAGTGAGATAGGAAAAAATATTTTTATTATTAAAGATCTAATAAAATATTTTGAAGCAGAATTGTGAGAGGGAATTTCACCTTCAAAGCAGACTGGATGTAGGTATGTCGTGTTTTGTGAGTTTGTTTTGTATGTTTTTCTGTATTTTATTGTTGCTTTTAATATAATATGTCATGGTTTTTATTATGTTTTATTGTGTTTTCATCTTGTGTTGTGAGCCGCCCAGAGGTGCTGTGGCACAATTGGGCAGCATACAAATATTTTGAATAAATAATCAACTAAAATATGTTTACTTCAGTTTACTTTAGTTTAGTGAACCATCCAAGTGCCTGGACATTAGGGATCTCCTAGAATCCCATCTCAAGAGCTGGGGATAAGCTATTACTTGGGCAATCAACAGAGAAGGAGAGGCTTCAGAAATCTCCGACCTGGCTAGAAGGGAAGGATTAGAAATCATCTCCTCCACTGAGAAAGAAAGCTGGTGTCTTTCACATCAGCAGAAGTGCCAGGAGCAAGTTTCCCTAGAATTAAGGTAGTTTGAGTCAAGCCTGGGAGAGACTGAAGATTGTCCAAGGGTTCCCCAGTACATGCCTGGATTTTGCCAACCAAAGTGGGAGAAGACCTGATTCACGCACCGAGAAAGCTTTGCCAAAGATGTAATGAGTCTTCAAGGAAAGAGGGCGGTAATGCTGCACACAGCTGTTTTAGCTAATCAGCATTTCTCCCATTCCCTTGTCCTTTATTATTTACATATTTACTACACTTGTATCCTCTTTCCATAGCTGTGAGGCTCTCTGGGGCAGCTTACAGCACATACAATAACAACAATTGAAACAATTCTATAAAACCATAACAAGAAAATCAATAAAATAACACAAAATAATAAAATGGAATATTTGCATTAGTAATAATGAAATCATTTAAACAACCAATTCAAAATAATAACAAGTACAATTATCTGGCAACTGGTTATCATGGCAGTAGCAACATAAAACAATAATAAACCATTCTAAAAGTAACCAATCTTCTTACCATAATACTTGTGAAAAAGAAATGTTTCCAATTGACCTCTGAGTAACAGGAGAGGAGACACCTGGCCAGTCTCCAACAGAAGCATGTTCCGTAAGTGGGGTGTTATTGCAGAAAAGGCCCGTCTCCTGCCTGCCTTCTCTGCGGGGAGGGATATGAAGAAGAGTTTCAGGTGAATTACTCTGCCATATACAGTGGATCCATGACAGACAAGTTAAAGTGGAAGTGTTCCCCCAAGGTAAATAGTTTAAAAATCTCCAGACTGGATGATGAGGAAAAGCTGAACACGAAGAGGCAAGCTGCCTGTCCTTCCACTAGAGGGACCTGTTGGCCTAGGAATGAGTCTTCCTTGTCTTCCTGGTAGAGATGTGAGGAATTGCTTGGCAGACAGGCAAGAATTTCTCTTCACAAATCACGCAAACGTGTCTCAAGTGGGGTGCTTCTTTTTCTTCTGAGACACGTTTGCAAATTTGCAAATATATTAAAAAGTGTCTTTTTAAAAAAATGTTTACTTTGAAATTCACATTTTTCAAAAATCATGCATTTTCATAGTTTATTCCATGGGGGATAGTGCACACCTGAAAATAAGCATAGAAATGCATGCTTGTCCCTTTAAAATGTGCACTTTTCCCATTCAAGCAAAGCTATATATACAAACGGGAGTAAAATCACGTTGGAGTGATTTTCAGGAAAGAAAACAAGCACAAAAATCATTGTCTGCCCCATCACTCCATACAGTAAATTATCTTCTTAATGTACAGATGAACTCTGATGCCCCATTCATTCTGTTACAGAAGTACCGTATTTTTCGCTCTATAAGACACACCTGACCATAAGACGCACCTAGTTTTTAGAGGAGGGATCCATGGAAAGCTTCCTGATAATCACAGGCACATTCCCCATCACTTCCCCATGGGCTTCATTAAAAGACGGGTTGCCATTTGAAAACACACACCGACCTGTGATTAACAGCTCTCACCTGCGCCGGAGGAGGGGGGAGGAGCAGGGCGCGCCGAGCGTGTGCCGGCCAGGTGTGGTGCAGCCGGGCCGGCAGCATGCCGGCGGTGGTCTTCTGGGCGGCACGGCGGTGGCAGGTCTTCCCGGGCGGTGGGGGTGAGCACTCCGTCTCTCTGTGCGGCCAGCGGGTTAAAGCCCATGGCTCTTCCTCCTCTGCACGCCTCCCCCTGAGCGGCACAGCTCTCACCTGCGCTGGAGGGCGGGGGTGGAGCAGGGCATGCCAAGCACGGGCCGGCCAGGTGGTGCCACGTGGTGCAGGCGGGCCGGCAGCGTCCCAGGCGTCGGGCACACACACGTTCGCTCTATAAGATGCACAGACATTTCCCCTTACTTTTGAGGGGGAAAAAAGTGCGTCTTATAGAGCGAAAAATATGGTACTCCTCACACAAGGAAAATGGAGAGGAAGACAAATTAACCCTGGGGTAGTGGAGACTTCTTTAGAAAGATCCAACATTGTCGCAAATAAGGAAATAAATGTTCCTTTATTGAAAGATGGTTACACTACATTATATGGGGATTTTTTAAAAAAATTTTTTGCACAGGTGAGATTTAAATCAATTTGTGCTGAAATGGGCCTATGATGTGAATGTGAAATCTAAGACGCATTGCAAAAACAGAATGAGAGAGGACCAAAGACCCATTCGATTGTCTTCTGTAGAAAGAGCTTTAAAAGCCATTATATACTTGATCTGTAAATGAATTCAGTCACTGTCACACTGTCACACACATTATCTGCTTTAGCTTTTCAGGTCAAAAATAGCCATTTTGGTTGGACAGAAGTTTCTTCTTAAATTCTTCAAGAGATTTTAAATCTCTTTACAAAAAAACTTGTTCCATGTCATTGCTTCCAATAGCTGCTCCTTAATTCCACCCTCAACAAGCTACATCTTCTTCCTAAATCACAAAGGTGATGCTACCCAATTCGGCATCTCATAGTAAACGGCATGATATCATAATGCTACAGAGCCAGTCAGATATAGCTGTGTGATGACAACACTGGGGGCAACTGAAAGTGAAATCTAATGTACAAAGGTGCAGGGGAAAAAAAGTTTTCAACTCCCAGCATGGGCCAGAGAGCTACACTGGAGCATGCTGGGAGCTGTAAGCCTTTTTCCTGTCTAAATTTGCTCAGGATGGAGCTTTCCACAACTTCTTTGCGGGGAAGGCAACCAGACCCTATCACAAAAGGGAGGATTGTTCTTCTTGTTTAAACTGGCATTACAAACATGTTCACAAAATAATAGCAAACTGTTTCAGCTCGTTTTTAGTTTCAATAAATGCCAATGCTTTCAGAATGTTATCTATATAATATAACATTTTAATATTCCTTAAGTCTTAACAGTTTAGGAAAACACTGAGAAATGTCTGCCATTTGCCAGCAAATCTCACAAAGAGCAAATTAGTTTTGACCAAGGATGAAAATTTCATCCATTGGTAAAATCAACTTTTACCAAATCACATTGCCAAATGTTCAAACCTGTATTTTATTTTATACTGTATGTTATGTTTTAAATTGCTGTTCACCACTCAGAAAGCTTTGGCTGTTGTATGGTATAAAAATGTAATAAACATGTCCAAATTTTAAAGTGTCCAACATTTCACAGTCCTAGGTGTTTTGCAGCCTTCCTTGGTAAAGAAAGAAAGAATTCAGCTATGAATTCAGAACAGGTTTTACTTCCTGAGACTTATCAGGAAATGACAGAAATTGACTCAACCGGATTGCCTTGGAAAATGATGGCATTTGACAGTAACTTATAAAAATGTGGTGAGCCATGGAAGAGGCATGTCTCTCATTCTCTTTTTTCATTTTGTGTTTGCATATAACTACCCAGGTGGAGTAAATATGGCAGAGAAGAACAGAGTCTGTGTTTATCAATCCTGGCTGCTTAAAGTTCAAAACATTAGCAGATTCTGCCAGGATGTTTCTGATCCCCTGGGAGCATTTTCCATGCATTGATCTGCAGGCAAAGGCACTTTGTTGCTGAGTGCAGAGAGAAAAGATATAGAGAATGAGTTTGCTGTAGGAAAAACCTAATGAACTGATAAATGCAAGGAGGAAATCCAAACATGTCAGAAGCAGGCAGACTTTTACCATATTCTTTCTTCACACTTCCCCGTTCTTCTCTCTCTTTCTCTCTGATCTGACTTTCTCCTTCTCCAGCTGTCCAAAAACAGCTGGAGAGGGACACCCAAAAGCAGCCAATCCCAAAAGGCCAGGGGAGGGGCTTGCTTCCTTTTCAACTCATGGCAAATTACAGCTATTCCAGGGATTAGCTGGGATCTGCCCTCCCCACAGTTGGTCTAAGGTAACAAGGCAACATACGAGGGAGGAAAAGAGAGGTGGGCATCTTGGACAGCTAGGAAAAAGAGCTAAGGAGGAGAAAAACGAAGAGGCAGAAGGAGATACAGTGTGGCTGAAGAAGAGAAGGATTGTCCAAGGGGATGGGGTAAGTGGTTTCTTTGTAAAGAGGCTTCTTGAGGGAGGAAAGTCGAGGGCGAGGCATGATGGTCAATGGGTTTCAGGCAGGCTGCAGAGCGGCACTGGTCTCTTGGTGTCTGTCCTGGTGAGCTGGTGTTGATTTACCTGGATGCTGAGTCAACCGGAGGAGAAAGCAAGACATAAAGCCATTTGGAGTTAGAAGAGATAAACGTGAAAGGAATGCCGAAAGCAAAGGTCAAAGCTGTTAGAAGAACAAGATGTGAAGTCCAAGTACAAAGAGGCTGAAATAAAAAAAAGCAGGCATGCATGGGCATAAAGTTTAGAGATGGGTACCCCTGGCTGCAGGGAGAGGAATTAGCAATTTTAGGAGGTTGGTAAGGTACAGGACAAGAAGAAATGAGGCAAAGTGGCTCAGCGGACACAGTGCCAGCTCAGTTTTTCCCCATGTAAAATGGGAATATTTGTCACGTACCTTGCCTGCAAATCCTTTCAGAAGGACTACGGTGCAGTCTTGTACTTAGACTGCCCTGCCACTATGCCCAGAAAATCCAGTTAGTACAAAAATGGCAGCAAGCTTATTGACTGGAAACAGGCGGGCAGAATACTTCTTCCCATCAGGACTCTTCACCGATCTTTCTACCAGTCCATTTCTGAGCATTATTTATTATGTTTTAAAGAAAATGTTTCTCCTGACTTGTGATGTTTGAGGCTTTAATGCATGTTTAAAGGATGCTATCTGTTTTATTCAGTTGTTATATTTAGATTCCACCTTTTTTCTCTTTACCAGGAAACCAAGGTGGCTTCCATAATCCCTCTTGTCCTCTCCCTTTTATCCTCACAACAACCCTGTTAGGCTGAGAGTCTGTGACTGGCCCAAAATCACCCAGTTAACTTCATGTCTGAGTGGGGATGAGAACCTGGACCCCCAGAGTCCCAACCGAGCACTCTTAGCACTGCACCGCACTGCCTTTTAACTGTCAGCCCTTCTCTTTAAAGCCCCTAACAGTTTAATACCTTGGATATCTACAGGATTGTTTTCCCTTGCATGAAACTTCCCAAATGTTAAGTGCATCTATAGAGAACATTTTCCAAACTCCCCCAATTTTTGAAGGCGGTGACTGGTAAAACAGTCTTTTCTCTGATTCTGGGATGCTCTCCTCAAGAGACCCTCTCCTCTGGTTTCCTTTTTGCCAGCTGAAGATCTATTTTGCTGATGATGATTTCGATGTCAATATTCTTCTGGTGCTGCAGTTTTCTAGCATTCTATAGGTGGTTAACTTATTTTTTTAAAAAAAACTTGTCATCCTCTTTGAAAGCCTTTGGAGTAAAAACTGGGGTAACAAATACTTGTAATAAATGGAATCTATGGCAGATACCACTGGAGGCCAGCATTTCATATCCTAAATTTTATATTTGCCTTATTCAGATCCTAGTTTATGACCTTGATGCTGACCCCTATCCATGAATGGAGGGAAAGGTTAGAAGTGTTCCAACTCGCTCAGGATAGTAATCGCAGAGTCACTAGTCTAGAAGTTAGATAGATTCTGCCACTTGCTGTGCAGCGACAGACACTTAAGGGTAAGTTTCTAAGTGGCTGCCAAGTGGTTTCTAAATGGAAAGCTTCAGCCTCACTACCTGGTCTCCAGACTAGGAATAGGATGCTTGGAAGCCTGAAGGGATGGGCTTGATTCTCATGCTAGTGTGTCATTATACTTCTTCAAAAGATGAAGATCTTTCTTCTTCAGGAGGGTTGCATTAGGTTTGGTTGACTGCAGCGCCTGGGTCAGGAAGGCATTTATTTCCCCAGATCAAATCAGAATGGCCTTCTGTGGGGTTGCAGGAAGAGGTAAGGCAGGGGGCTTTCCCACCCTAGTTCAGGCAGTCTGAATCATTTGTTTCAATCTACTCTCTGTGTGCCCTTCCTTTCTACTTGTTGCAGATTATAATCTGGTTCAGAGTGTTGGGTCTGGGAAGGGCTAGCAGCTGGATAATGGTCCTGCCTTTCGTTGTGGGAATGGACTGGTTGGCATTTTGGTGCCTTCCAGCCAGGGTCTGCCAAGAACTCTATACAAAGCAGAGCATCAGGGCTTCTGAAAACAACTGGCCTATACACCAGCCTGCATGTTTTTAGCACAAAATAGGCCTCTCCACACCTCCCAACCAGACCCATTGTTGTTCCCCAGGCAAGCCATGAACCCACTAGGAAACCCCAAGACTTCTTAGCATTTCTGCATAAGCAAAATGTCAAGGTGGTGGTCCACTGGATTAGTTATTCAGTGGAACTCAAGGGATAAAGTTCAGTTCTCTTCCATTCTTATAAGCTATTTCAGGCAAGACACTTTGTCTACACACCAGCAGATCCAGTGATGCCTTGGTATGCATTTAGCTGGTAACCATGTGATACAGTCAGAGCAATCCGGGTTTTAATCAGCACGCAGCGAAGAAGCCAAACATAGCCTATCCTATAGGGCTGTTGTGAAGATAAAGTAGCTATGTGGGACTTCTCGGTTCAAGGGTAGTTTGCCGATCTATATCAGTTTCTGGGTGACAATCGGAGGAAGGATCCTTCTTATCCTACTTCTGGACCCTATGGGGATCTGTGAAAAGCTCAGTGCTGGACTAGATTGATTCTTGATGCGATCCTGCAGGGCTGTTCCTATGTTTCCATGGGCTGGAGCATGCATGCCAACCTAAGCTCCTTGGAGGATGTAATAAAAGCATAGTAAATATATTTTTTGCACTAGCTGTAGTATAATCAAATAGAGAAACATGTAAACTAATAGAACTACTTATGTAGAATAAACCCATTGCAAATGCGTGCACACACGCGCACACACACACACTTATATTGTTTACTTTTACCAAATGTTTAGGAAATGCAACTCAGAACTCAATAAAGATAAGACCTAAACATATGAGTTACAAAGACTGGTCAGTTCTCCCAAGCTCTTTCCTCTAAATTTTGGAAGTGTTCAGGGCAAATATTAAAACTCCTTTGGGTTGCAGCCCTTTTGGTTCCGCAAGACAGTAAATCTCACATTTTCCATGAGAGCCCTCATGTTTACTAGCACTGCAGAGGCTTTCATGTCAACAAGGCAACGTCCACAACTAGTGATGAACAGTGGGGTAGTGGAAGAGGAAGGCAGAGGCGTGTAGCTCTAGGATTGTTTTCGCTGCAGGAGCCAGAATCTCATCTGCAGGAACACAAAGATCATGGACAGGCCTTGCTGGATTTAGCAAGTGAATTAGGCAATAATGAGTTTTTCAAATTGAACTGTTATTTGTGATAGTGGATTACAGGAAAAGTCAGAGAATGAAGAAAACCAAAAATAAGTTGAGGCTGGAAATATAGGAAGAAATACAGTTATTTTTTCCTTTGATGGGGTTCCTACTCTAGACTGGTCATTTAAAATGGAACGCTTCTTGGAAGGCTTTGCAGTTCTCATTAAAAGCGGAAGGATGTATTTCAGCTGACTGAAGATATTTTTCTGAAACGTAAGCGTCTTCTATAACTTGAACCTATACAGTTGAAGTAAGCACCACTCTGTTCAGTGGCAATTACTCTTAAATAACTCCTGCACATGATAGCAGACATGCTGATCCTAACAAATGGAGTATTGTGTCATGCACTGTTGCTCTTCGGTGTGTGTGTGTGTGGGGGGGGGGAGGCTACAGTGAGATCCTGCATTTCAAAATTTGTCATTCGACCACTGGTAATTAGGCAAATTCTCAACTGAACTGGCTCCATAAATCCATTGGCAATATTGAGACTTATTCTTTGTGCTGACCTTCCAGAAGTTCAGTGAACATTGGATTGGATCCAGAGCTAATCATGGTTAAAGTAGACCTGTTTAAATCAATGGGATGAACATATCATCACAAAGGGTGCTTCCACAAAGGGGCATCTAACATTAACAACCAGGAGGCATTCCATAGCAACTCTGTCTCTTTCAGCTTCACAAATGTTATGCAATAAAGAAAGCAAGGAGAATTGGGAAAATGGAGAAGAGCTAGAGTGGAGGAGACATCACCTGGATCCACATCAAATTCCATTAAATAGACAGGATGAGGGCATGATAAAAGCCTCATTTGGAAGCAATCTAACTCATTGATTTCAATGGATATACTCAAAGCATGACTACATCTGGATGACTTCAGACCATAATAATGTAAAAACTCATCAGCCAATCTACTGGCAAGCAATGGATTTTCCAGCCAAAAATTTGCACAATTGCCGGGGGAAGCAGAGTTGCAATCCTGGAAATTGCTGTTGGCAAGCTTGTTTGAATTTCTGATTAAAATCTAAAAGTTACATTTCAGCTGGCCTAAGTCACTTTGCTGAGGCTCAGTATGTTTTACAGGTTAAGCTTATGCCAGCATTTGTCAGCATGGTGCTCTCTCAGCATTTTGGACTATAGCCCCCATCATATACAGTCAGCGACCAGGTGGGCTGATGGGAGTTGCAGTCAACACAATTTCAGGGTTCCAGGTTGGAGACAATTTATGCAGTCAGAATCAAGTATTCCTGCATCAAAGCAATTAGCCCATAACATGCTATAACTTAACATAGCTCATAAACAGAACGCAGGTGCAAATCAGTTGCACCCAGTGGCCTGCAGAGTTCAGGTATCTCAAGAAAAGTAGATAAGCAGCATATGGAAGGTCTCACTTTTGCAGCTGCACTTCCTGAATTAGATGAAGAGAGGAAATCCTATGTTCCAGTGATCCCTATTTGCCAGAAGTTGTAGCCACTGTTCTTGGCAAGTCATTGTCGCATTGTTTTGTCCCCCCTTTGCCTCTGGGGGATGCTCTGTTAAAATGCCCAAGATGTGAGCTGCTAGGCTTGGCCTTCTTCGGGGTCCAGCTCTCTTCCCAGATTGCTGGAAGTAAGTCCTGGGGGAAGCGGGGGTGGGTGCATCTTGTCCCTACAGTGCATGGGCTTTAGCATGCATGCATGAAAACCAAGGCACCACGCAGCCATATTTCACCACACAGCATAACTGAAGC